GAACTCCTGGGCTCAAGCCATCCTCCTGCCTCAGCCTCCCAAGTACCTGGGATTACAGGCACGTGCCATGGTGCCTGGCTAATATTTTTTGAGAGATGGGGTCTCACTATGTTACCTAGACTGGTCTCAAACTCCTAGCCTCAAGCAATCCTCCTGTCTCAGCCTCCCAAAGCACTTACATTATAAGCATGAGCCACCAAGCCCTGCTTCATTTTTAAATGTGAAAAGATGGGTACACCCTGGGGATGAAGAGAAGAGCGGCAGGTGCTGTCCTGAGGCAACTCCAGAAATGGGCTCAAAGACAGATTCTCACAGTCACCGTCTCAGCAGTCCCCACCCAAGTCCAGGGTCTGCTGAATGGCCACCTGGCCACCAGCTCCTTGCTGGGATGGCCTCGACTAGTCACTTTCAGTCATAAACTATCAGCCCACTAAGCCCTAAGCTCTATAGCAGAATAAAAAAAAAAAACCAATCACCTTAATGATGACATCAGCATGCGACATGAGGTTACTGTCTACCGTCTCTACTGGAATATCGTAAGACACCGTGTATTTCAGGAATCCACCAAATGCAGTCAGCTGAAATGTTTAAGTGAGAATGAACACGAAAGGGGAAAACAATCACAGCAACAATCAAGTAAGAGGAAGTGGTCACTGGGATCCATCTGCAAACAACTAGGCTACAACTATCCCCTTGACAATGACAGACAAGGAAATTCACACTAAGGGCAGTGAAAGAGAAGTGTATTTAGAAACACTTTGGTTAATCAATATCACCAAAATGCAGCACATTGTTTGAAAGCACAGAAGAAAAATGTACTCTTTGTTAGAGACCACAAGGCAAATTACTATAAACTTTTGTTAATCACACAATAGATATTTACTTCACTTAAGTAATTTAAGGGATGGGGAGTTTGACCCATGTCTACAATATCCACATTTTCATTTCAGCATCCTCCTCGTAGGACAATAAAGGACATGTTTGATTTGCTAGTTAGAGAAAGGACTAAAGGTGTTTCTTCTGATGAGATGTCCTTCAATTCAATACAAAATAAAGATTTTCTTTCTGATGGGTATGTGACAGCAATATATTGTTCAGAACCCAACTCTGCACCATAAATTTGGAGAAGTGATATCAAGAGAAAAAACATCATTGAACTCCGTTGATAAAATCATATAAATAGAGCACATGTTCTAGGATTAGAATTTGATGAAAAAAACCAATAATTTTCAAAAACAAATACTCCTTAAAAATATACAAAACAAGCTTAAAAATGAAAATATAACCATCAAATTAAATACAAGCATACCAATCTACAACACTACACTAGCATGCCCGTATGCCATTACTTTAAAACACACACACAAAAAAACCCCGGGAAGGTAAGCAGGGAGCTATAATAATTGAGATGGATTCTCGGGAATAAATTTTCATATCAATCAGAATCTGGAGAGACGTGGCATAACGGGGGAGGGGGAATGGGAACACATCATTGCAAGGAAGGCTCAAGCCTACAAACCAACCTCCACATTGCAGAATCACCAGTTTGCATTTTCTTGAAATATAACAAAAGCAGAAAGTATTTCATCTGTTCCTAAATGTGAGCTTCAGATGAGCACAGCCTGCCATGGTACTCAAAGTGAGGGAGCAGCACAGCAGTCCCATTGCTGGAACCTTCCCTGGGTTGTTTTTTGTATGCCAGGCCCTCCACAAAGCCACAGAGGCGTTAAGCTGAGCCTACGGCAAACTAAACAAAGCGGGAATGTGACGAACACTTCATAAACAAGCGACGCAGGGACCCGGAAAGCTGCTCTCAGAGAAGGGGATGAGACTTCAGCACACACACTGCTCAGGAACCAGACCAGAAGAGCAGAAGTTCTTATTTGAATAATACAACATAAAGTCTAACAAGGCTAGAAAACCTTCTTCATATCATCAGATGCAAGTACAGGCTGTGAAATGCTGTCTGACACTCAGGTGCCCTACGAAACTACCTAAAATGCAGGCTGCACAAGTTCTTTCTCAGTGTTCCCTGAGATCTTCGTCTGAGACATCACTGCCTGCAGGGACACACGCACCTTATTTCCAAGGTAGGCCTCGGGGGCCGCCCAGTAGTACTTGGGAGCCAGCCTCTGCATGACCGCGGTGTTGTTGATGCTGACCTGGTGGCGCCCGCCCAGTGCATCTTGCTGAGACGGAATCCTCCTGGGACTGATCAAGTCGGTGACCAGCCACCCCGACATATTGCTTACCTTAAAAACAAATTCAAGAATTTTGAAGTATGAAATAGAACTTACCTTAGACTTCACCCCGTGCAGCAGTAATGTGTTCACAATGAAGAGATGGGCCAGAAAGCTTCTCTGGGGCTGGTATTAACATAACACCCATGGCCGAACCTCATGACCCTTGACCCTTCCACTTGTAAAGGACCAGGAGGATCCGAGAACAAGTCTCACTACCCCAAATCCAGATCCAGTATAACCAAATAAATGAGCAAAACCACAAAGGCCATGGGTATAAACTTCAGATTTGAAACAACAAAAGAACATCATAAATGCATTCAGCAAAATGTCTCTTGCTAGCTCTGACTCCCTCTTCTTCGTTGCCCCCTGCTTTTTACCCAAATGTAACCTCTAGATCTTATACTCCCAGTGCGTCACCTACATAGAGGTGATGGTACTCCCCCCAGTGTGGTGGCCATGGCAGTCACCGGTGGGGAAGTCCCTACCGAGCAGCTCCTCCCTTGCCTGCAGCCATCACACCATCTCCACCTCTTCTAGCCACCCCTGGACACCCCTGTTGAATCCATCACCCCAGAACTCCCAGTTCCCGAAACAACTTGACCTGCATTCATAAACCCTGCACCACGTGCCGCTGTTCCCACCCTTGCCACTGGAGGACCTCCTACTCCTTAGCCTCTTTGAGCTGGAAAATTCTCATGGTCCCATGGCTGGCTGCGCTCCCAGGCCTGAGAGCAGCAGGGGCGGACAGGGGGAGCGCTGACCTCCCCACCCAATCCATTTCCCCACAGAAGAAATTGAAACATGACGTGTTCTCTAGTGCCACATCATCCTGTTTTTTCTATAGAGAAATGTGTGTGGGAGTAAGCACGTGACCTATAAAGAAACTTGAGAAGCAGAGAGGGCTGCCTATGACCCACGTCAGTGTCACTGCAAAGCGATGAGAGTGGTGTCACAGGGGAAGTCATCCTCATTTCCTCCTCACACAGCTCATGCCAAGCTTGTGCAATATGACCTGCTCATGAAATCCCGCCTCGTAGATGGCGCCTCCCACCTGACCAACAGGCCAAGAGAGGCTGCTGCAGACATCGGAAACGCCAAAGCAGAAGCACTCGGAGCAGCCCTGGGGGTTTTTCTCCTTCAGGTTATAGAATCCTGGCTTGCAGCGATCGCAGGCTTTCCCCTCAACATTTTCCTGTAAGTTAGGGTAAAAGATTAGCTTTGAAACCAATGTGTCCAGAGAGAATAAAGTGACATTCACAAGACAGGTGTTCGGTGATCCACAGAGACAGGAAAATAAACGTCCAAAGGAAAGGTGAGGCCTCATAAAGTCAATATTTCCAGAATAGAGATTTTGAAATATATATAATTTGATTTTGTAGCCAAGAACAAGGCTGGAGGTCTTAGAAGTTGGTCATTCTATTTAAATTGTTTTGTTTTAAATCTTTCATTTTTTACTGATCTTTCTAGCATCTCAAAATCTGAAGACAGCTATAGAATCTTCTGTCTTATTCATAAATGCTCAAGATTATTTCCAGTCGTATATAACACGTGCCTAAGACTGCACAGGTAGGAATAAGTACATAGGTACAATGGAATATCCTATGAATTATGAAGAAATTGTTATTAATATTATAAGGCCAAATAAAATCCCTCACTGGCACCACATTAATCCATTTCTCGTGGCTGTTCAACTCCTTTTTAAGAGAAACTCAAAATAGCGTATCTGCCTTTAACTGGTGTTCTCGGATATGTAATGTTAATCCGGTTCTCCTCCAAATACAAAGCTGGAAAAGAATATCACAGAATTCAGGTAGGGGCCAAGAGCACCTCTTTTCCAACTACTCAACTCAGCCTTTATTGGTTGAACATAGTCATAAAAATACATAAGCAAATGGATACAGCTCTGTTCCAACAAAACTTTATTCACAAAAACAGGCAGTGTGTCGGATTAGGCCCACGAGCCATAGTTTACCAAGCCCTGGTTTAAAGAAAGAAAACAGAGATGAGGCCCACAGAGGGAGGTGGGAATATAAAGGTATGCAGTGCGTGGTGTCCTCTAAGAAGTCACAGAAATGCCTCTGGAATATATGACCATTACCAGAGGTACAAAAAAAGCCAGCCAGATGCCCACGTAAGTCCAAACATACATAATACAGCCAACTCGGTGTGGCCTGGAGACAAGGGGTAAGGGGAGCTCTGCTTAAATCTTACCGCTTTGCTCAAGAACTGATCATTGGAGCCAATGGAAAACACTCCTTTTCCAGAGAAGCTCAAAGGAAGTTCAGGGGTATCTCTGACCTCCCCACTTACCTTACAAACACAGGGCCCTGTGCAGGGCTCGTCACTGGCACTGCCCACTGGGTTGCACCCACAGGAGACACAGGCCGGGTAATCCTTATAGCCAAGTTGGCAGCGATCACATTTTTCTCCTGCATAGCCTTCCTTACATGGGCACTGACCCGGCCCCTTCCCTAGAAAGACAACAATGGCAATGACCCAACATGAAGGAAAAGAGGTTTAAAGCAGGGGTTGGCAAACGTTTTCTGTAAAGGGTCAGAGGTGTCTATTTTAGGCTTTTTGGCCTCAGAGAATCATTTGCAGCTGCTCAGCTCGGCCGTTATCGTTCGAACACAGTCGTAGAGAATACACAGGCAAATGGCTATATCTCTGTTCCAATAAAACTATATTCATAAGCACAGACAGTGTGCTGGATTTGGCCCACGGGCCATAGTTTGCCAATTCCTTGTTTAAAGAAAGAAAACAGAGATGAAACCCACGGAGGGAGCTGAGAATATAAAATGGTAGAGTGACTTTGGAAAACTCTTTGGCACTTCTTCAAAACGTTAAGCACAGAGTTACCGTAAGATCCAGCAATTGCACTCCTAAGTAAACACCCAATAAAATGAAAACATACATCCACAAAACACTTGTACATGAGTGTCCCTAGTAGCATTATTCATAATACCCCAAAGTAGAAACAATTCAAATGTTCATCAACTGATGAATGGATATATAAAATGTGGTATGTCCATACTATGAAACATTATTTGGTAATAAAAAGGGATGAAATACTGATACATGCTACAACATGGATGACCCTGAAAAAGGGTCATTATACTAAATGAAAGGAGCCAGTCACCAAAACCCAACATATATGGTTCCATTGCTCTGTAATGTTCAGAATAGGTAAATCTGCAAAGAAAAAGCTAATTAATGATTGCCAGGGGCTGGGAGGAGGGGCTGGAGGAAAGTAGGAAGTAACAGCTAGTTTGTAAGGGGCTTCTTTATGGGGTGATGAAAATGTTCGACTCTTACATTGTGGCAATAGTTGCACCAATACACCAAAACAATGAATTGTAGACTTCAAATGGGAGAACAGTATCGCTGTACATTATAAAACTGTTTGTAAAAAATAAAAAGCACAGATGCAAGTGGCAGAGAGCAGCAAGCACTATCTTTGCTTTTAATGTCAGCTCTGAAAGCTTCAGGCTGTGTGATCTCGGGCACGTTTCTTAACTGCTCTGAGCTACAGTTTCCTTGCCTGTAAAGTGGGTTAAGTAATTTCTATCTGCTGTGGTTGAAAAGTTTAAATGATATATTTTTTTAAATGAACTCAATTGATGGTAAATGTCACCACCACTATCACCATCATCATCTTCATTATCATCATCATCATCCCCTCACCAGTTGCACGTCAGAATCAATTCAGTTGGGTAATTTACCCTCCCCATTGCTGGGGGGCCTATCCATCCCTGCTGGTCAATATCCACTTTAACTGCCAGTGGCTGAGAACCTGATGGGGTCACAGGAGTCTCTGAACAGATGCAACCTATTCAGGAGACCCTGGTATTTGCAAGTCAATTTGCCAGTTTTTGAAACGGAAAGAAAGAACTCTGGCATTTACCAAGTTAACGGGAGGACTTGCTTGCTCTGTGAGATGATGTATGCAAAAGCCCTCCGAATGTCTTCTAAAAGCTAAGCAGAGCAATTGCTATTTACTGTGTTACACACATGGCTTTAAAATGAGCTTTATTTCTTCTTTCATCAAATGCTCAATTATCTGCTCGAACGTCATTTTATCACCCCAACATTGCCACTTCATTACCCCATCCCCCTCCATTCATGAGTCCTAATTTTGCTTTATGTCCATGACACTACCTCTTGACCTGGCATTACATTACCCATGTACTTGTTTGTTTAGTGTTTTTGAGAGCAAGGACTTTGACTACCTTGTTAAGTACATATTCCCAGGTCCTCAAAAACAGCCTGAGACACAGTAGGTGCTTGATACATACTTGGTGAATGAGAGTATCAATAAAGAATCATGTTACCAACTGGCTATATAATGGTAATAGTTCCAGTATGTGCACATCTTCCACACACACACAAAATCAACTACAAGCACAAAAGTGAATCAAGTGCTTACCATTGCGTAAGTCAGAATGAAGCTCATCCTTAACACAGACAGAACTGAGGGACCCCACAGGGTCACAGTCACAGGGGCGGCAAGGCTCATCCTCATAAGGAGACACCTGAAAGGCAGAGGTTACCCTGGATTCTCTTACTAGAAGTTACAGTAACGTTGGCAATAGTATCAATAAGAAGGTACTGGCTTTTTACTCAAGGTGGGACTATTACGATGATTTTGTGCTTGGGGGTGGGAGTCAGGTTTCAGGAAGATAAGGTGATCTCAAGCCAGGAAGCCCAAACATCTTTTTGATGGTGACAGTAGTTAGTACCATTAGCAAAGTGGCGTCTTTTTCCAATATCCCTGCTATCCAGCCCCCCTCGCTCTGCTGCCTCTCAGAGCCACGTTATAACCAGACCACCACAAGGACCCATGTAAGAACTACATATCAAGTCAATTAAAGATGGGCTGAACACGGCCGGGCGTGGTGGCTCATGCTTGTAATCCCAGCACTTTGAGAGGCCAAGGCAGACAGATCGCGAGGTCAAGAGATTGAGACCATCCTGGCCAACATGGTGAAACCCTGTCTCTACTAAAAATACAAAAATTAGCTGGGTGTGGTGGCTCACGCCTATAATCCCAGCTACTCAGGAGGCTGAGGCAGGAGAATCACTTGAACCTGGGAGGCGGAGGTTGCAGTGAGCCAAGATCACGCCACTGCACTCCAGCCTAGTGACAGAGCGAGACTCTGTCTCAAAAAATAAAAATAAAAATAAAAATAAAAAAGATTGGCTGAACACCTCCTACAGGCAAGAGACAGCTGCTTTAGTTATGGCTGAATTTTCACATCTGTAGTTAGTATTATGACCCAGGATTACATAGCTAATGGGCCCCTAAATTCAAGTTAAATAACAATGACTGACATCCTACTTTGAGCAAGAAAAGCAGGACAGATAGAGTAGGAACTATATATATAAAAACACTGCTAGCGTAACAAGGATATAAATGAAATATTACAAAAGTCTCCAATACGAGGTTAAGACTTGACGAAGTCTCTTTTCCACCTGGGGAAGATGACGATCGGCAATGGCAAAGAAATACTCTTACTTTGTGTGGTCTATAATATCCATCAATACAGGTCTCACAGTTGATTCCCATGGTGTTCTGCAAGCAGTTTGTGCAAACCCCTCCTCCTCTGAACTGTCCAGCAGTATTCAAACTTTTCTTCTGCTTTGCAACACTTTCATCATAGTAACAGTCTTTGGCTTTATTGTGACAATTACATGCTAGGAGAATATTTTAACATCTCAGTTCATTTATATTTACGTAGCATGCCTTATACAAAAAAAACTCTCAACCTCCCTAAGTAAGTTCTATGACTTTAGATTAAATTAAAATCCTAGAATAAGTAATGTTAGTAAGATATGGGCAATATTACGGAAGACAATTGGGAAGAGCTATTAATATCAAAATAATAAATGCACATACCCATTTGACCCAGGAAACCATCTCCTGGGATTATATTTTGCAGAAGTATTTGCCCACTTGAGAAGGACCTATACAGGGTTAATCACTGCATAATTGTTTGTGTGGACAACAGACTAACAACCATCAAAATAACCATTGATAGGTGGTTGTTTAATAAATTATACTACATTTGTATAACGAAATTCTGTGCAACTGTTTTTAAAAACAGCATTTCTAATTGCTAATATGGAAAGAATTTCACGATACATTGTTAAATATAAAAAGTGATGTGGACCATGTGCCGTAGCTCACGCCTGTAATCCCAGCACTGTGGGAGGCCGAGGTGGGCGGATCACGAGGTCAGGAGATGGAGACCATCCTGGCTAACACAGTGAAACCCATCTCTACTAAAAATCCAAAAATTTAGCCAGTAGTGGTGGGTGCCTGTAGTCCCAGCTCAGGAGGCTGAGGCAGGAGAATGGCATGAAGCATCAACCCGGGAGGCGGAGGTTGCAGTGAGCTGAGATCGCGCCACTACACTCCAGCCTGGGCGACAGAGTAAGCAAGACTCTGTCTCCAAAAAAAAAAAAAAAAAAAGCAATGTATACAATGGCACGCATAGTACATTGTCTTCTGCGTAAGAACTGTATTGGCTGGAGGGATATGTTAACGTATGCTTTATATGCATAACAATTTTAGGAAGGACATACAAGAAAATAATAAAAAGTGCAAAGGAAGGAGATGAAGTGGAAGTCATGCTTTTTACTACATACTTTTACATATTGTTAGATGTAGGACTCTTGTAAATATGTTGTCTATTTAAAACTTCAATCCAAATCAATACGGAATATACAACCTGGCAGATCCCATGGTAAAAAAACAAAAACTAAAATAAAATTAATACAGAATAATAAACTATATGGGAAGGGGGACTTGCAGATAAAACAGCAAACCCATAAAGATACATTTAGGCCACAATAGTAAAAATTTTAAGATACTCTGCACCTTTGGAAACTAGTTAAATTTCTAAGAAAACAAGTTACTTGCTAACTATAAAAGTTGTTAAGACACCACAAACTTAGACGTATTAAGAGGAAAAGTGCAGTGACCGTCAGATTCTAAGTATACTGACCTTCACATGTATTCCCAGAGGACACGGTTCCAGGCCTCCAGGGCTGCTGATGGTACCCAGGACAGCACCTGTTACAGCTCTCCCCGCAAGTATTATGCTCACACTGACACTGCAGTTTCTATACAATAAGGAAGCCAAAACTGGATCAGAAAATGTATCTGCTTATTTTTCTTAATTTCATGACAAAAAGAACCTATCTGTCAAATATGTGGCAAGACCTCACAACAGAGGATATACGGTTATCATCAAAGCAGGCTGGCATTTCGTTTTTAGATGCCAATATATACAAATAACCTGGTTACAAACAGAAGTAAAGAGGAAGAAAGCAAAACCAGAATACGACTTAGCTAATAAAAACTTTCTTAAAAAAGATGCATGCACATTAAGGGTTTAGAAGCTCCTGTTAATAATTTTCTTAGTGTTCATCTATATATTTTTCGGCATCAATAATAGAATAGTCCTATTCAAGAGGTAAAGAATTACAAAGATTAGAAGAAAATAAGAAGTAACTTCACATAAGTGCTTTAAAAGGGAAGATGTCAGGACCAGCCTGGCCAACATGGTGAAACCCCATCTCTATTAAAAATACAAAAAAATTAGCTGGGGATGGTGGCACGTGCCTGTAATCCCAGCTACTCGGGAGGCTGAGGCAAGAGAATCCCTTGAACCCAGGAGGTGGAGGTTGAAGTGAACCGAGACTGTGCCACTGCACTCCAGCGTGGACAACAAGAGCGAAACTCTGTCTCAAAAT